TGATATTACACTTTAAAGAAGGGTATTTTAATTTTTTTGTTGCAGGTATAGCAATTTTAGGCATTTGGAGCAAAAGTAGCAAAAAAAGGAAATTTGGAGCCAAAATAGAGAAGTTTGTGATTCTGGGGCCTGAGGCGCCAGAAGCGCCAACTTACTGAGAGATGACGCCAGCGGCGCCTATGGTGCCAGATTTGGTGATAGAAGCGCTAGAACCCAGAATAGCGCGGACTAAAGTGACTTGGCACTTGAGGCGCCAAAAGCGCCAGAGATGATACTTGATGAATTAAGGCGGTTCGGAATGAATTTTGAGCGGATTTTGAAGGCTTCAAATATTTCAAATGCCTCATGGAATGATTCAATGCATCTAGACACTTTGGAAAGCTCTTTAATGAAGACATATGTCTCTTGAATGAATGAACATGTCTTTTGTTATTCAAAAGGTGTGACTTTTAGGGAGAATTTGGGAGGGAATTTTGAATTCTTTTTGAAAGGAGGCTGTCCCTAATTAAAAAGGAGAGTGGGAAGAGAGTTTAGAGAGATACAGTAGCGTGAAAGAGAAGAAGATTTGAGGTGTGAGATAGAGTGAGGGACTTAGAGATTTTCTTCTAGGATTGTAAGAGGAGAGGGAAAGTGAGAGATTTCTTCTTCATTACATTTCTAAGAGAGATTTGAGAGTGCTTGTAAAAAGCTAAAGTGCTTAAAGAGAACTTCTAGGGATTTTCTTGGGAAGTGAGATAAGTTATGTCTTTTATTTCATTATTTTGTAAACTTATTTTTATATATGAAATCTGTGTTTTGTCGTTTCATTCTCATGAATTATGAGTAGTCTTCTTTATCCTTCTCCCTACTCTGAGATATGGTTTTGTGAAGAATTGATTTTGTTTTATACAATTTTAAATGTCAATAATTTGTGATGATTCAAACTCTGATCTTCATTTACTTTTCAATCTAGCCAATTGAAATGTTAAAATGTGTTGAGAAATATATGATCTGAAAGAGCTATGATTTCTACAACATAGTGAGAGTCACATTCAATTCTATGGGTGAGAATGTAATCCATGGGGTTGACTCCAAATAAATAGAGAAATATACTTTGTTGAACACATAATTGGAGAGTTTAAGGTAACATATTAAAATCCTCAATTTGGTCATGTTGATTGAAAACTAATGCGAGATTGTTAGCCCTCAGGTGAGGGAGAAATGGGAGCTCTGGAGTGAGAGCTGGTATCCTCCCAACCTAACCATGAAATTAGGGCCAAACTATGGATTAGTCAATATTTTTTATACACTTGACATAGGGTAAAGAATATGATTACTCATATTTACCACAATACAAATATATATATATATATATATATATACCACAATATACTACATAAGAAATAATAGATAAATAACACTCCAATAAATCACTAATAATACCACAATATTACAACATGTCGAATAAGCATAACGATGCATATAACAATAAGTTAACTTAGTTCTTTTAACTACATTTTATTTAACATACACTCAATTACTTTATATTTGAATTTCTTACTTAAGTTTTGTAGTTGAAATTTTGTGTTTTGCATTATAGGCATAAGAATTTCCAACTCCCTGTGGGATCGATACTCAGGACTCCATTATAGCTCTTTATTACTTGAGTGATACATATACTTATGTTATTATTACAGGTTTCACAATTTAAAGATTTTAAAAGATAAAATTATTTTACTAAAGTTATTTTTATTGGGATTGAATTGCATATTTATTATTAGTGTTGTCGTGTATGTTTTGTAATATTAAAAGATACTTACAAAAGCAACACAAACAAACCACACATCAGTGGCCATGGATTTGTCTTGCCATGGGCCTAAACCAATATTTTAAACATAAATTCTAGGTCTAAAAATCCTTAATTATACTATCTTTAAATAATTAAATTATTAATTATTAAGAGAATAAAATAATTTGATGAAAAGACCTAATTTTGACCAAAAATTGTAATGTTGACCAATTTTGACCAAGTTGACCGAGGTTGACCAATTTATGTTCAGGGTTGACCAGATCATGGGGTCATTGGGTTTGACCAAAGTTGACCAGGGTGGTCGAATTGACTATATGGTGATGTCTTGACCATATGGTGATCATTTAGGTCTATGTAATGACCAAATGGTTATTGTGGTGACCATAAGGTTCAAAATATGACCACTTTGACCAATTTTTGGTCAATGGGGTCTATGGTTGACTAAATGGTCAAGTTTGACCAATTTGGTGTTTTGGATTGACCAACTGGTCCAATTTGACCAAAGTTGACCAGATTAAGGTTTGTCATTACTGATCTGATCGTTTTGGGATGTCAACATCGTTAAAACCCAGAAAGGGTATATTGGGGATCAATCTAGTTTTTAGGGTTTTGGGGACCCTAAATAAGTTTAAAGGGGTCAATGTTGTAGACCTTTTGCCTTAATGATCATAATGATCATTTTTAGGTCTTTATGAGTTGCTTGATATTCCTGAGCCAAATATTACTCAAGACATGTCTGGTCTATGAGTGTTATTTTAGGTTTCTAACAAAAGTGAAGTCAACATCCTCACATTAAACTCTGTGTATTGCATTTAAATGATGAGAATGAAAAGTAGAGGATATTCTTCTTTCTTATTATTGTTGTCCTCTCATAGATAAGATGCTTGATGTTAGGTTGTTGCCCGAAAGGTGTTCTATAAGCCAATTTATACAAGGCTATGCGACAGTATATACACACAGAAAAAAAGTTCTCGATTAGACTATGTTAAAAGGTTCTAAAAAAAGAAAACAATGTTTGGAGAAAATCTCAACACCGGGGTCATTGATTTCGCGTTCACTTTTCGCCAAGTTGTTTTGTGTGCAAAAAGGTGGATGACCTCCTCCTTTCTTCAAGGAAACTCTTAAGAAATAAAACTTGTTTCTTGGTCTAAGAAAGTGGAAGAGGAAGTTGAATGAAGAGGAAGGAACGAGGGAAGAAAAATAATTAAGAAAAGAACTCACTTTTTTCCCTTAAGTTTTTCTTCTCTCCTAGGAATTATATCAGCCTCCAAAGCTCTCTCCAAATTTTAAGAATATTGTTTCCCCCATCAGTGTCTTATAAATAATTCCAAGTCGCCATGCAAAATGGCTTAAGTCATATTGGAAACTACATATTACCCCTTGGAAAAGTGGAGATCTTAAAATAATCTTTCATTGGTCATTCCAAGTCATCACAAGTCCAATCCATGCCTTAAGTGGCCAAAAGTAAACAATTTCAGCCAAGCTGGCTGACCCCGTGCCAGCTCTCTAATGGGAAGGCGCTTGGCTAATCCCATCTTAAAGTGAGTGTGTTAGGTTTCTAATGCGGGGGCGCTAGCACCTTGGTGCGGGTGTGCTCAAACAGGTGCGGGTATTACTGGCTCTCTATCTTCATGCACATAAAGTTGTTTCTGGAGCGGGGCGTCCATTCCAGGTAGAGGGTGCCAGGCAAAAGTCAGGCGCAGGTCAGCCCAACTTAAGGCACATGTACGCCTGTGCAAGCCACTGTTTTCGTGTTCTAAACGCACACTTCGTGTTCTAAAGGCCCGCCAGAGAGCCTCAATGGATGCCTTGAGCTATGGAAAGCTACATATGAAAGGAAAAATGATCTTATAATATTCAAGAGGATATCCTACATATTTGACGTAAAAAATTGATGTCAACAATTGAACCCAAATTTTCTTTTGATTGTCTGATTGTCAATTTCATTATAATCACGTAAATAGATCAGATTTACAAATGACCAATTCATGAGAGCCTTTCTATCACTTGTTCAAGCAAAAAAAAAAACCGGTTATTGGATTTACTTTTTTGCAAAAGTTAAGATTATAAACTTTAAAATTACTAAATTTCAAAGATTTAGGCTAAGACTCAAAACCACTTTACTAGAAATTTTTGAACTTTGGGAGTTCACTCCTTCCTTATGGAATCAATATACAAACTAAATTTCATATATTATGTGATCAACATGCATACTTGCACATATCGTTGGTTGTCTGCAGCATTTCGAACATATCAGAGCTCGGTTTAACTGCTTTGACGTGTGAATTCAGTTCGAGAATAGTTGTTATCGGCTGGCTATTAACGCTCATAAGACTCTTTAAAAAATATACTTGAGAAAGTCTTATTATGTTATATGATTGTATTTGAGCATACAATATAGCACTTAAGAATATGATCACAATGTATGTAAGAGATTATAATTCAAACCTCAAAGGAGAAGATTTAGTACAAGCAAAGTTATGAGATGGATGTTATGCAAATGTGATTATGACATTAGCAAAATTATGAAACAAATTTTATAGGAGATATTCGCATCAACACCTAAGTTGTAGTTAGCGGTGTAAATGAACCGAACACGAACAAACAAAGCTTGTGTTCGTGTTTGGTTCGTTTGAAATTTAATTTGTTTGAAGTAAGCTCGTATTTGAAATTGTTTGTGAAGTCATTGTTCGTGTTCGTTTCGTAACGAACGAGCCGAACACGAGTTGTTCGCGAACGACGAGCCAGTTTGACATCCCTAATATTAATATATATAAATAATATATTATATTAATTATATAACTTATATTATATAAATATTTAATATCTATTTTAGTATATTGCTAATATAGTATATTAGTATAATACTATTATTAATTTATTATATATATTATAATTTATAAAATTTGATTTTTTTAAATATCATAAATTTATTTATATATAATTATTTTAAATTATTTTATATTTCAAACAATAACGATTCAAACATAAACGAACACATCACTGTTCGTGTTTGGTTCGTTTAACTAACTGACGAATTTGTTCACATTCATCTCATTTACTTATCGAACGAATCAAATACAAACTCATTGACGAACCGAACAAAAACTGTTCACGAACAACGAACTTTTTTTAAAAGTTCTAGTTGTAGTACATGAGATTGTTACTTTTTTAAGTTATTTTTTTATTTATCTCAGAGTGATGAGGGCTTACCAATGTACAGTAAAAATTATAAGATGGAACAACCTTAAATAAGCATATCATTAAATAACACTATCACATAAACTGTGGGGCCCACAGTGCAGTACCCGTACGACCTCAATGGTCCCCACCATCTTCTATGTGTCTCCATCACATTAATGTGCTCTCAGATTCTTCTCGTCCATCACCATTTCACCATTCTGCATCTCAGTCTCTGCGCTGATCCTCCTTCCCCTAACAATACCCCTCCGCGCCTATAATTTGTTCGCCTCGGCATTAACACAAATGACTAGCGAGCAAGCTAGAGCGAGCCACTAAAAGTCCCCTCTTTTCCGGCGGCGATGAGCCGGAATCAGCCCAAACTTAAGCCGCCGCCACGGCCCTTCTTCTCCTGTGCGATTTTCCGGAACTGTACGCAGTCAGCCCTCAGTCCCAGAACTCCCTCCGGCTCTCCAACATCCTACCTCCATGAACTGTTAGCCTCCCCATCTCTTCCTCCTCCACCACCACCACCTCCTCCACCTCCAACAGCAGCTCCTCCTCCCTCCACCGCCCTTCCTTCTTCGAGCTCCTCTTCTTCATCCTCCTCCGCATCCCACAGCTTCACTCAATGGCGTTTCCCACTGCAACACAATCACCACCCGCCGCTCCCTGAGCCAGAACTTTATCGCCCTCCATCCGCAGACTCCGCGTCCTTCTTGTCAATCAACCTCTCCGAAGCCTACCACGCTTCCGAGCTGCATTTCAGCTCCGGCGACAGTGTTCATGCCCTCCGCCTCTTGGAGCGATCCCTCGCAACAGCGAGCCCCTCACCGCCGGCATCTCTACGGATCATGGAGGCTGTTGTCGCGGCGCTGAGGCAAGCAGAGACTGCGCGGGCGGCTGCAAAGGTGTTGCTAGCTATGGTATTGGCAGAAGGTAACCGCCGGTCAGCAGTGGACCGCTGCTGTAGAGGCGGTGGCGTCCGCCGGAACAGGTGCCACGACGGTGAAGGAAAGAACACTAGCGGCGTTGGAGTTGTTGTGTACGGTGGAGGAGGGAGCGAAGGAGGTGAGAGAACACGCTCTAGCGCCGGCGGCACTCGCTAGATCTGTGGAGGGGATGACGGGGAGAGGAAGGGAATGTGCGATCGGGATCTTGGCAGCTATATACGCCGGAGATAGGGCGGCGGATGCGCCGAAGGTGGTGGCGCATGCGGTGGTGGTGGCCTTACAGGGAGAATGTAGCGCTCGGGGGAGAAGAAAGGGGGCACAATTGTTGCGTGCTTTGAAGGAGAGAAGTCGGCTGGATCTCGCAGATGTTGGGGACTGAACCGTTGGATCGAGGGTTCTGCATTGGACGGCTCGTGATGAATTTTGTTGGTGTTTGAATGATTTTGCTTGTATTTTTATTTTGTTGTATTGATTGATGAATGTCAAGATTTCAGTCTATTTATAAATTTATATATTTTTTATTTATTGTTTCACAAATTTAGATACACTCCATTTATTTATCTCATACTCAAATTTTTATTTTTACAAAATCAGTACCGGATCAAAATGTGGGTTTGAGAGAGGTGAAAAAGACAAATCGGTTGCTTGGTTTGTAAAATTGAAAGATGGTCGGACTTTCGAGGCGTGGGCCTCAGAAGTTCATCGGCACTGATTAATGGAAGATTACCCTCGCTTCTGACCAAACAAAAAGTCGCTCCCGGACAAACAAAAAGCCAGCCAATCTCGCCAAATTTTTGCAAAGACGGTGCATGTGATGGGAAGGTAAAGACATGAAGAACTTCTTCCTTCTTTAAATAGAGGGAATGATCAACAACATTAAATGGGGCTTGCTCGTTGAAATGCTTGAGAATGACCCACTTAATGATGACAGCTCAACACATTAAATGGACGTGTTGACGGTTGATTTCCTAAAAAAGAAAATAAACTTCACATTAAAATAGATTTTTAAGACACCCCTTCCCAAAGAAAGTATTAACTCCGTGGGCCCATTCCCGATACACGGGGAACTGAGCCCGACCAAGTAAGTCTCAAACCTGGCCCGACAAGCTCAGGGAACTCATGGCAGACGCACGCTAAATCCAAAAGGCAGGAGATCATAAGACGATCACAAAGCTGAACCATCACCCTAGCTAAATGCCCTTGAAAGGACCCATGGGTCGGGACACTCAGGGCCTTCTCTCCTGCTCTCTAAAAACGAGATCCACGAACAAGACACAGGATCCATCAAAGGTCCTCAGTGGAATTTGTTGGCGTCAATTTTTTGATGTCGCATACTCGATATGTCCATGCAAATGATATGAGGCTCTCTTCAGTTTCTCGTAGTCTAAGAAAGCTGATAAGACCTCCTAGTACGTGCCTCAAGCAAAACTCGATATGTCCATGCAAATGATATGAGGCTCTCTTTAGTTTCTCGTAGTCTAAGAAAGCTGATAAGACCTAGTACGCGCCTCAAGCAAAGAATCAAAATCGATATTGATTCAGTCATACTCGAAAGAATTTAGCATGGAGCAATGTAAACTCTAACACGAGTCATCCATGTTGTCCACTATGGTGCCTTAGAGGTCATATCCCACATATTCAGAGCTTTCGGTGGCCAAGGGGAGTCATCAAACTCTCCCACATGCATTTTGGGAAATTTTGGGATTTTAAACAGGTATACCCGTGCGGGAGTCTAGGACGCCATTCGACACCAAAATACCTTCATTGAAAATTTTGAAATGTTCATTTTCATCTATGGAGTCATATTTGAGTGATAAGTGACTCTCCATAGTGTCCGGGTCGATTAAAATCATCATACGTGCACCCGAGTGAAAATTAGAATTTTAGATTGTCGTGGCCGTACCCAGCTCCGGAAGAGGATTTTGGCTCTATACGATGCATCTGTGGGGACTGTCTAGAGATGGTGAAGCCTTTTCTCATCCCTTGATGTCTTATGATGGTCTAAGGACCCATAAGAATCCACCACGCGAGCCTCGGTGAAGATAGGAATCAAAGAACAAAAGATAAAAAATTTTAAAAAATCGATACTTTTTTGAGTGGAGCATAGGTGCTAAGAGCCCCTAGGGGGTGCAGCTCAACAAGTGGGGGCACATATGCCCCATTTTGGCGCATAGGAGCTAAATCCCATTTTGGGTGCTGCTTTGTTGCGCCAACCGAGAACGGGGTGCATATGTGCCACCAATTAGCACATATGCAACGAAACTTTGCATAGAACAATCCCAGATAGAGAGGGTGGCACTTATGTGCTCCGAATAGTGTTTAGGCGGCCAACTAAATGTACAAACCCGAGCAACATGCTCATATGCGACTGATAGCTATCGCATACGCGCCCAGACGTCTTGCATTCGTTAAACACCTCCATTTCACGTCGTTTCAGCCCATTTCATATCAGATGGAAGGAACCATTTCAAAAAAACTTTTCATGGTTCCCATGAAGCTTATAGAATGAGTCAAGGAAAATTAAGGGGAGATCACATCAAATTATGTCATATCCATGCAAGGAGATGCTTCATCGGGCTGTGTCAAATAGATAGGTCGAGCAGGTGAAGAGACCATGTGGGAAGCTTGGCAGGGGTGGCAAACCAAATAAAAGAGAGGGAGGCAGCTCATTTAGGACAATCCACTATTTTCAAACTAAGGGAGAGAGCTCTAGAGAAAGGAAAGAGAGATTTCTAGAGGAGGAGCTCAAGTGAAGAAGAAATCCTTCTTCTTTTTTATCTTCTTCTTTGTCCTTCATTCCTTCCTATTTTTCTAGCTTTTTTTTTTCTTTCTTCCCTCCGTTGAGAGGCTTCTTGCTAGATCTAAGGAGAGAATTTAGAAATCTTGAGTGTTAGAGGGAGAACACAATATTCTTCCTCAAAGAGCTTCTTCTTGCTCTTAGAGGCTTGAGATCTTGGAGAAAGAGAGAGAGACTCTTCATCTTACTCGAGAAGAGAGGTTAGGAGGGATCGTCACGAGCTTCGCTAGAAACTTCATTGTAGTTTCAAACTTTGGTATAGCTTCATCGGAGCCAATCTCTAAGAGGGGCCATCTTCATTCCGTGAGGAAGGAGTTAAGCTCGAAACCTCGTTGAAGTTTCGCCGGAGCACCGTTGGAGCAACGTCAGAGTGAGGCCAAGCAAATAGAACATGTCCTCAACCTTCGCAACGGTGAGATTTTCTCAAACCCTTGTATTTTCCTTCTTAGCCGGCTTTAGGAATAGTTTTTACTAGGTGTTGTGGGGTTAGGTTACCCATACTAGGCATATTTGATAGGCCATTTAGTATCGTCCGTGTAATCAATTTATCCATCACCGGAAGATGTGATTGGTCGAATGAAACAAGTCGACCCGGCCATATGTCTTAGATTGGCCAAATTTTTAGTTTCAATGTGGGTTTGGTTGCCCATGCTAGGCAAGTTGGCGAGACGACACGACAATACGTTTATTGATTGACCAATTATGTCTTAAAAAAAACCCTAGGTTAGGACTTTACATTCGTGGCCAAATCAATGACGAAGAAAAGAGTTTTTCCTTGCAAGCCTTAGCCCCAAACCTGAGCGGTTCAGAACCCCAATTTCCCATAGTTTTGGCGCTTCCAACCTTCCGAAGGGGTTGAAATTGTTGGATCTTGAAGAATGGGAAAAACTTTGTAGCTAGCCCATTCTACAAGATTGTAGAGCGAATGTAGGACGGAAAAAACTTTGTAGTTTGCTCGCCCAAAAAAATGTGAAGGACTTCTCCTACGAGAAATTTGCGGAAGAAGTTCTCCACATTCCTTGCCAAAGCCAGAGGTAGCTGTGTCGCGTATCTAAAAGCTAAAGCATAGTACTCTATGTGATTTAGCTAGAGCAAGCGTGGATGGTTGTCCTGCAAGAATCATTGTATTTCATGTTTGTTTACTAGAGGGTTTGGTAGCCAACGTGAGGCAGGTACGACCCGCTGCCGGCATCATCTGACTTAATTGATCGCCCGACACTGGAAGATTCAATTAGTTGAACTATACCCGCTCTGGCCTGGTCAACACTATGCTTTGCCTCAAGCGAATACCCCATCCCAGTTGGCATTACACTTTGCCTCGAATGGCTGCCCCAGCCCGGTCGACATTGCACCTTGCCTGAATCGGCTACTCAGGTTAGGCCGACATTACACCTTGCCTCGACTGGCCCCCTCAGCCCAGCCAACCGATCACTGTGGTCTAACTGGACGCCCCAGCCTGGTCGACCAATCACCTTAATCCAGTCGGGCACCTTAGCTTGATTGAACCCATTGGTTATGTTTCCCTGGTTTGACTATCACGGTTAACACAATGGGCGGATAACCAACCTCACTTTGCATGTGCATTAGTATTGTTTGAGCAATATTTAGTATAATCATCATGACATGCTTAAGTTGCATTTTGAGTATTCACTCATACGCTCACCGTACTTGGATGATTCTCTCCAATGAGAATTATCATTCTCGTAAGTCAGTTCCCCTTACGATACACTCGATCACTTGGGTCAATGCTACTGACCAAGGAAAAATATGTTGAGATTTTCATACCTATTTTATACTATTTTTGATGATATTGTACTTTAAAGAAATGTATTTTTGATGTTTTGTTGCAGGAATGATGAATTAGGGTCATTGGAGCAAAAAAATGCAAAAAGGAGCAAATTTGGGGCGAAAATGACCAAAATGTGAAGATTTGAACTAGGGCGCCGACGGCGAGCCCAACGGCGCTGACGGCGGACTTTTCGCGAGATTCCAGAATTAATTCACTTAGTAGG